TGCCTTAAGAATACATGCATGCAAGGTAAGCACCCCCATCCCCATGAATTACCTTACTAATGGCCCATTCTAGTTTCATTTTAAAATTAGGAGTTTGGGTGATAGAACCTTACCTTTTGGGAAGAAGACCTAGGTGCCTCTCTTGATAATCTTCAAGGTTTAAGCAAGAATTGCAGAGAATTTTTTTTTTGATGAAGAAGACTTTCTCCCTCTATGACCCTCTTTCTCACTCTAAAGATATCACAAAATAGGCTCAAAATGGTTTAAGGAGGGTGTTTTAACGGAATAGGGTCGGGTTTTAAAATTAAAAAATAGGAGCCCCGGCACAGATCTACGGTCGTATATGCGACCGCATAATGCTTCTGCGGTCCACAAATGGGCCGCATCATTGGCCCTCAGGAACTAGCAATTTCTGCTTCAGTCTACAACCAGTCTGTAGTCCTATTCTACGGTCGCATATGGCACCGCAGAACCTCCATCTGAAATCTCAAGGAATGATGTGCGATCAAAGTGTAGCCCGCGGAATGGTTTTGCGGTCGCATAATGGGCCGCAAAAATGACATAGAACATGGCCAAAATGACTGCTTCACTCTGCGGCCATTCTGTGGCCCGCAGAGTGATTCTGCGGCCGCATAGTGGGCCGAAGAAATGCCTTTTTCTGCAAAATATTTTCCTTTAACTCTTTAGCGTACCGTTCATCCCAAAAAGCCATAAGCTTATCTCGGCACCACGAATTTCCGGGTTTTTAGGTAAGATTTTACGGGGTCTTACATCCTCCCCCACTTAAGATCATTCGTCCTCGAATGAGGATCAAAGCTCACTATTAGCATCTTATGCAACTCAGTTTTTCACACCACACACCGCAGTCCCAAATTTGACGAACTCCTTAGATTTTCAAAATTTTTGCCAGAGTTTCCCCTGTAGCTGGGCCTATCTACGTGTCAGAGAACCCCAGAAATACACCCTAACAACATATATGTGATCCAACATATATATAATATTTTATGGGGCCTTACATCATGACTTCAAACGACCGAAATGAATATAAATGCTCAAAACTATAATGACCCGACCGGTCATTTTGTGTATTTGAGCCTTGTTTCCCCTTTTGATGCTTCACGCATGTGAATTTATAGATTTATGAATTTTGGAGTTGGTTAGCTTCATTCCGGGAAGGTTTTGGATTAATATAGGACCTTTAGTTCTTGGTTTAGAAGCCTAAGTTGGAAATGTTAATTGAAATTTAACATTTTGTGAAAACAACCCTGGAACGGTGTTTTGGTGGTTCTGATAGGTTCGTATAAAAATTTTAGACTTGGGCGTAAGCCTGGAATCACATTCGGAGGTCCCTAGGTTAATTTGACTTATTTTGCCAAAAGTTGGCAATTTGAGATTTAGAAGTTTTCTCAAGTTTGACCGTAGATTGACCTTTTAGCTATCGGATTCGAAATTTTGTTTTGGGACTTGGGATATATCCGTTTTTCTATTTGGAACTTGTCTGCAAAATTTGGTGTCATTTGGAGTTGGTTTGATAGGATTCGGGCACTTGGTTGCAATTCTATTGGTTCTTGAGTTTTCTTTTGAAATTCATGCATTTTGATGTCCAATTCATAGTTGTAGATGTTATATTCTGTGTTTTGATCGTGCGAGCAAGTTTGTATGATATTTTTAGACTTGTATGGATATTTGGTTTGGAGCTCCGAGGGCTCGGGTGAGTTTCAATCATGTTTCAGAATAGTTTTGAACTGAATCGGGTTGCTGGTGTGCTGGTGTCTCTAATGTTGCAATTTCGAGCACCAACCTCGCAATTCCAAAGTGAACAAGTGAGGCTCAGGCATCGCAGTTGCGATGCCTCACTCAAATATGCGAAGTGCAGGCTATACTGGATAGGTTCGCATTTGCGACACTTTAGTCGCATTTGAGAAGGAAGCAGACTCCGCAAATTACGAAGCCTATGTCACATTTGCACTTCCCACATAGGTCGTCAGTTCCACATTTGCGATGCATTCTTCGCAATTGCGACATCTGCAACTGAACAAAAGGGTTTGGAGTCGGAATTTTATCCTTTTTTCACTCATTTTAGAACCCTAAACTCGGTAAGAGGTGATTTGGAGAGGGGGGTTTTCACCTACAATCATTGGGTAACTGAATCTAATCAATTTCCAACCATATTTCATGATTATATAGGAGATTTAACATCAAATTATGAGAATTAAAGAAAATTTTTGGGGTTCTTGTCTAAGTTTTGAAAAATAAAAATTTGAGTTTTGAGAGTCGATTTGGACTCTAATTTGAAAACAAAATACATATATAGACTCGTGGGGTTATGGGTAGTCGGAATCTACCCTTGGGCCCATGTTTTGACCGGACGAGCCCGGGTTTGGCTTTTGTTGACTTTTGGAGAATTGTGTTAAAATCGTAGTTTTATATATCAAAATTGGTTTCTCTTGCATTGTTTGATATTATTAAGTTATTTTTTGTTAGATTTGAGCCGCGCTGGGGCGGATTTTAGGGAAAAGCTATTTTGAGGGTTGATTTGGCCTATCAGAGGTAAATATCTTGCCTAACTTTGTATGGGGGAACTACCCCTTAGGATTTGGGTTGATTGTGTTATTTATATTATGTGAAATACGTGTACATGATGTGACGAGTGTGTACACATGAGTTTCTATGGTATTTTGACCAGTTTAGACTTTTAGACTTCTTCCATGCATTTAATTGAATTTGTCATAACATGTTATATCTTCCATTGTTAAATTTACTCTCGCATGCTCTATATGATGTTGTTAGCACATGTTATATCTTTTATTATTAAATTTTCTCTTATATGATTTTTAGTTGAAGTTGTTACCTCTCTTATTGTCTTGATACCTCTTTTATTGTTAAATTACTCTTATTTAGAGTTGTCATTTCGTGGGAATACCTTCATTTTGAGTAATTGAAGTTCAAGTTGTGAAAGCTATTAGCACATTGAGGTTGAAGTTATTGATTATTAAGATATCTTTCTCGTAGAGTATTTCTCACTCATTTTATTGTTATTGAGATTCTTGTTCACATTATAGTTGAGTCATGGCTATATGTTGTGGTAATATTAGTATTATTGATTTAGGCAAGTATTGTGGCATATGTGCACGTGTGGTGCAAGTTGATTATGATATGCATGTGGTGGTATAAGGATCAGGGTTGATATGATGCGGTGACATAAGGTGGGATCTATACGCGTGTTGCTAGTAAGGGAATTACTTAAAGCCACGCATCGAGATAAGGGGCTAAAACGCGTGTAGCTATTTTGAAAAAAATATTTTTTTTCTAATTAAATGCAAGGCTCACGTGGTGGTATAAGGAATATTGTGATTGTGACTTGTGAAATGAGATTATGAGGTGTCGTACATCGGTTGTGATTCTTGTTGTACATCCTATGTTTAAAAGCTTGTTGGTTGGACTATTCTTGTGTTTTTTCATTTGTCTTATTTGATTACTTGTTGTTCTTATTATGTGTTCACTCCTTGTTGCCTTCACCGCTTAAATTTCTATTGTTAGCTTACATTATTGTACTGCTTTATTGTCATTCATTTCCTCACTTTCCATTATTAGACTACACTATACTCTGTTCAGTTTTCTTGTCCTAGTAGGTGTCTTGACATGACCTCGTCACTACTCTACCGAGGTTAGACTTGATACTTACTGGTTACTGTTGTGGTGTACTCATGCTACTCTTTTGCATATTTTTGTGAAGATCTAGGTACATCTGCTCATGTCAGACGCCAGTGAATGGACAACATATTCCAGAGACTTCAAGGTATACCTGCTTGACGTTCGCAGGCCTCGGAGTCACCTTCCACTACTATCTTTTCTACTGTTTATTTCCACATCAAACAGTATTGTATTTGGAGACTTCTTGTGTACATTTAGAGATCACGACTCAGTTCTATCGGGTTTTGAAAATATTGTAATTGTGATTGAGTATTGAAGTTATTATGGGACTTATCAGCTTTTTTTAATATTTTTTAGTTGTTATTTCTGTCAAATTCTCTTGTATGTTAGGCTTACCTAGTCTTAGAGGCTAGACGCTACCACGACCACCTCCGTTGAAATTTTTGGGTTGTGACAAAAAATGACCAATCGAGTCCTTGCATGGATAACGGTAGATTTTTAGGGACTTGCTATATATATATATATATATATATGCCTATGTTCCGTCGCTATTTTAGATAACTAAAGGGAATTAAATAAAGAGAATATGCAATTTCCCTTATAGATCCTAAATTAAAAGGAAAGTAAAGGTTTTATAATTAGTGTAGATATTAAACTTGAAAGGAAGTAAACAATTTTACAATTATCATTGAATATTTTTAAACTAAAATGAAAGTAAATATTCTACGATTAATGTAGATTCTACGGTAAAGGAAGTAGTTATTATAATATATCTCCAAATATATTTTAATTCATTTATAAAATGATCTTACCCTCATATATACTCCAGCTCTTAAAACCCTATTGAGTTGGTACAACTACCACGAGGATCAAATTAACTATCAAATATTTATTTTCCTTATGCCAACACCCCCTTCCATATATCAAATATCAAATAATCCACTATACAAAGAATGAACGGTGCCTCCCGCAGGGTAATACTTGTATAATAAACCCTTGTGATCTGGTTATTCCTCGACCCCGTTCCTCGGATTGCCCTTTTCCTATACAAGATAAAGTATTAACAGAAGCATGGATTTTAGCCATGTTATTCAAGAAAGTAGTACATAAAACCAGCTCAACCCAGAGAGATTAATCTTTCCCTCAGACGGCCAAAGAATAAATCAAATTTACCCTGATTCATATTTATTCCTACCTGATCAATCTCCCTAGCTTAATCAACATAAATATTCAAATATACTGAAAGTACACGTATGCACAAGCAAGTGTGAGCATATACATGTAAATAAAAACCTGATTGGGGAAGACAATTCTCCATGATTCAAACTCCCCAAATCACATGAGACTCAGTATTCAGAAATGCCTTTCAAATAATTCATGAGAGTAGGAGATAATGAGCTTCCCATATTCTGCTGAGGCGAGCAGAACAAATTGGTAGAATTTGGCGTGAACAAAGGAAAGTCAGCCAAGTACGGATTAGAAAATTTATAAATTGGAGAACTTGATGAGGATGATTTATTCTTATCCATTTCAACTGAAAATGATTCATCATTCTCATTCTCCTCACAAGTTAAAATCTGATTATCTTTCTTCTCAGATTGATCAACAGTTTCGGCCTTCTCGTTTGCAGCTGATGATCTTGAATGACCCGTGAGTTTCTGCACCAGAGCCATGAAATCCCGAGCCTCCGCGTGAATAATCTTGGGCGATTCAGTGTATATTATCACCGGGCCATTTTGTTTCTTTAGCGGCGGAGCCATGAATTGAACTGTTGAAGAATTCGAAGGTTTCCGTATGACATGCGATTCCTTTTTTATCTTCAATGGAGAAGGACGTGGACCATTTATTATCCTCCTAGTTCCATCTTCAGTTTCATCAAACTTTTCCTGGTTCATGGTTTTACCACTTCACTAGATTTATAATTAATCAACAGAAACAAGCTAAAGAAAAGGAAAAGGATTGCTCTTCGTTTGATTAACCAGTGATTGGTGACGGAGAGAAGGATTACATCTATATACATATATATAGATAGAGAATTTTTAGGTGAGACTTTTTGCTAGTATAATGGATGAAAGTGAAACTAGTAATTTTAAATTATTTTAGCCAGCTATTTTGACCGTTGACAATATTGCTTAGGTGGGGAAAGCGTGTTGTTTACGAAGGGTAATGAATTGACGGAAAGCAGTTGAAATAAGGTAGTGCCAGCGACGGCGTAGCTGGTGTCATGGCGACGGTCAAATCGCAGATGTTGTTTTCCATGCCTTTATAGGGTCTTCTCAACTAGCTAAACTCAAGTTGATTTGTTAACATTTATATTGGATATTTAGCAAATTGCAATTTGTGGGTCAACGAAAAGTTCATTTTTGGAATAAAATTGAGGCCTAGGTGAGAGTGGAAAGCAAAAATCCAAGAAAAAGAACAGAAAAAAAAAACCTTTATTTTGTTCCTGACACAATTTACACTAGTTTTGTGAGGGCTCCTATTATCTCACAAACGAGAAAGACTAACATCACTACAAAAAAAGGTGAGTTTCCTGACGTTTAATTTCGACATTGTACCCTCCGCAATCTATAACAATTTGTGGTGGTTTATACATTCCTCACAAATATATTAGATTTGCGGGGCTCAGTAACCTCCGCCACCCTTCATAAAAAGCGCTTATTAACCCCAAGTTTCCCCTATTTTTTAATCCTTTCCCTCTCTTTTTTTTTTTCCCAAACTCCTTTCTCATTTTCAGCTACACTTCAGTTAAAACCCACTAAGATTAAAAAAATTGAGCAATGACAACAATTGTCTGCTATGTCTTAGGCTTGAATCCTCCCCAACCTGTTATGGATGGTTATTTTCGGCTGATATGGAGAACATTGTTCATAGACAAGGTGGCACAAATCAGTCGTAGAGTTTTTCTTGTTTGATCCCATGTCACGATCCAAATTTCATTATAGGGGTCGTGATGACACCTAATCTCTAAACGTAGGTAAGCCGATCACTTAACAATATTAAATTAATAAACCATGATATAATAATATAAAATTTAATAATAATGCAAAAATAGATCTACCACCAGAAAAAATTACACTACTCAAACATCTCCCCAGAACTAGGTGGTACATAGCCATGAGCTCTAACTGAATACATAAGGATGTCTCAAAATACAATACTCTTCGGATATGAAAATGAGTGTATAAATATAAGGATGGGACTTCAAGGGACTGCGACTGTCATGTAACTCTACCATGAATCCCCACGATTAATGTGAGCCTTTATTGCCTAGGTTCGCTACCTCCAATACCTGGATCTGCACAAAAATCTGCAGAAGTATAGTACAAGTACACCACGATCGGTACCCAGTATGTATCACAACCAATTAACCTCGGTGAAGTAGTGATGAGGTTCAAGTTATGTTATACTCACTAGTCGAATAACCTGTGCAATATATCAAAGACTGGCAACAAAATGTATAGCAGAAAATAATATCTAACAATCTCTATCTAGAACACGTGATAACAACTTAATGCAAGTAATGGTTCATCTTGACACCAAGTCATCAAATAAAAACACAACCATATGACAGCTCGTATCACAATAACAATATCCATTCGTACCAATCCACTCTAACACAATAACAATATCCATTCGTACCAATCCACTCTAACACAATAACAATATCCATCCGTGTTGCTCCACCGTGACACGATAAAAATATCTATCCATATTGCTCTGCCCAGATACAATAACATTGTGATGACCCAAAAGGTCATCTTATGATTTAAAACTAAATTATGTATTTTGAGGCCTTAAAACCTCATTTTATCCCTCCTCGATTTGTGTGCTAGTCCGGACGTGATTTCGGAAAGCTTTTATATTGAAAGTTGATGAAATAATAATTTTTGCCTTTAAAAGTTGATTTGGTTGACTTCGGTCAACGTTTTGAGTAAATGGATCCGGACACGTATTTTGATAGTCCCGGTGGATTGGTATCGAAATATGGGACCTAGGAGAATGCCCGGAATCGTATTCGGAGGTCCCTAGCCCGAGTTATGGATTTTTGATAAAAATTATAAGTCTGAAAATCTAATAGTTTTTAAGAAATTGATAATGTTTGATCATGTCGGTATCAGGCCCGTATTCTGGTTCCGGAGATCGGTACAGGTTTAATACAATATTTAAGAATTATATGTGAAATTTTATGAAAAACGGAGTTGGTTTGACGTGATTCGGATGTCCGGTTGAGAAAATAGAAATTTCAAAGTGTTCTTGAGAATTTCATTCGATTTGGTTCTAAATTCGTAGTTCTAGGTGTTACTTTAGCGATTGGATCACGCGAGCAAGTTCGTATGATGTTTTAAGACTTGTGTGCATGTTTGGTTTGGAGCCCCAAGGACTCGAGTAAGTTTCGGGTAGGCTGCGGGGTGATTTGAACGTAGGAAATTTTGCTGGTATGCTTTAGGTCTGCTGACTTCGCATTTGCGAGGTCTGGCTAGCAAATGCGAGCTTCGTATTTGCGAAGAATGCATCGCAATTGCGAGCAATGGGGCTGGGGGTTGGGCTTCGCATTTGCAAAGATCAGGATCGCAATTGCGATCATCCCAGGTCGCATATGCGAACAATAGTTCGCATTTGCAAAGGTAGCAGAAATGTGAGGAGTTTGCATTTGCGAAGCTTTTCTCGCATTTGCGAGTTCTGGAATTGCAAAGCTCAGGTCGCAAATGTGACATCTGCAACTGTGTAAAAAGGGATTTAGACAGAATTTTTCATCCATTCTCCAAATTTTCAAAACCTAAAACACAAGAGGCGATTTTCGTAAGACTTTTTCTTCCCCAAATCATAAGTAAGTTATTCTTAAGTAATTTCTTTCAATCTTTCACTTCTTTTTACAAGATTTCAACCAAGAATCTAAGATTTTCATGGTGAAATTGGGGGTTTTTGGGTAGAAACTAGGGATTTGATAAATTGGGGATTTAGACCTCGAATTAAGGTCGGATTCAAAAACCAATTATATATTGGGGCTCGGGGGTGAATGGGTAATCTGGTTTTGGTTCGGATTTCGGGTTTGGACCAAGCGGGCCCGGGTGTTGACTTTTGTTGACTTTTTTTAAAAATGGCCTTAAGTTGAATTCCTTGCTAACGTGGGTAGTTCATAAGGCTTAAATTGAATTATTTGGTTGGTAATTTGCTAGATTCTATTGGTCCGGAGGCTTGTGTGAAGGGAAAAGTTGTGATTGAGCTTTAAGTTTGGCCGTTGGAGCGAGGTAAGTGTCGTGGTTAACCTTGGCTTGTGGGATTAGGTATTATTTGCCTATTTGCTACGTGTTTGGATATTGAGTACAACGTATAGGTGATGTGACGAGTACATATGCGTTGTTGTCGAATCATAGCATGTGAATGAGTCTTATTCTTGTAAATGTTGTATTCTTTCACATTGTTTATGTTTAGACTAGCTATTTGATGTGTTGAGCAATTTCTTATCATGTTTTACTGAATTTGGTATTGATTGAGTATCGACTTAAAGTTGAGATTTGTATTTTGGAGCTAACTGTTAAAGTAAGAATTGTTCTTGATATTCCTATCTCCCCGTTGTTATTGTTCATTGTTTTGGTGAGGTAGAGTGTTAAAGCACGACGAGTGATGCCGTGCAATGTTTTGTGAGTGAGTGATAAAGCACGAAGGGTCATGCCGTGCATATTTTTATTATTCATTATGGCGAGGTTGAGTGTAAAAGCACGAAGGATGATGCCGTGCACGTTTTTATTATCTTATCTGGTGAGGTTGCGAGTAAAAGCACGAAGGGTGATGCCGTGCACTTTCTTTTACTGTGTTTATCCATTTCTATATGTTTAAAGTATATTGATCGTTCTTGTTCTCAGTTCCGTTGTAATTCTTTGTCTTATAATCCCCTCAGCATGCCCCCTTCCCGATACTTCTTGCCTTGTTTCTTTAGTTGCTATTATTAGTGTATATGTATTGATAAACTGCACAGGTTTGTTTGGGAATGTCTTGTCCTAAACTCGTCACTACTTCGCCGAGGTTAGACTCGACACTTACCAGTACAAGGGGTCGGTTGTACCGATACTGCACTCTGCACTTTCTGTGCAGATTACGGTACTGGACCATGTTGACCCGAGTTGAGCTTCTGACATCAATCCCACAGGAGACCCAACGTAGATCTGTCGGCATTCGCAGACTCTGGAGTCCCCTTCCAGTTATTTCATTTTACTGTTTCTTTTTATTCGAAAACAGTTGTACTTTCTTTCAGCCAGTATTTGTAGTGACTTTTAGAAGTTCGTGGATTGTGACACCAGATTCTGGGTAGTTATGTATAATTACTTGGGTTATTATAAAATTTTGCACTCCTTTAATCTGTTATGGTTTAATTGCTGTTATTTACTGAATTGGTTAAGAGGTAGCGTATTAATCTCTAATTGTTGGCTTGCCTAGCAACTTAAAGGTTAGGCACCATCACGGTCCGAACGGTGGAAAATCCAAATCATGACAAATATCTACCCGTATCGCTCCGCCCTGACATAATAACAATATCCATCCGTATGGCTCAGCCCTGACACAATAACAATACCCATCTGTATCGCTCCCAGCAATAACAACTGTCACAACCCTAAAATCCCACATTAGGAATCGTGATGACACCTAGTCTCTAAGACTAGGTAAGTCTAAAACATGATGAGAATAACAAATTAAATCCAATTAAATTATAAAACAAACATGGATAAGTGACATAACATCATCAAAATGACCAAACCATAATACACTCCAAAACAAGTAGTACAAAGCCATAAGCTCTACTGAGAGTAACTAGGAATATCAATCACATCACTGTTTTAGAATGAAAGTAAACATTAGTAAGGTAACTCTCCAGAAGGTGACTTCAAGGACTGCG